TTTTTTTTTTTTTTTTTTTTTGGATATTTGTTTCCGTTGAGAAGCGTAGGGCGTCGTTGTGTACTTTTCGTTCTTTGCTAGTGATAGAGAGGAAATGCATAAATTTCTTGATCTGAGTTGAAATGTTTAGCGGGACTCTTGAAGAGGTGAGATTGTCGTCGCTTTGGTGTTTGACCTCGCCTAATGAAAACAATCTTAGAAGCATTAGAATTTCGTTATTATTAATAAGTTTTTTTTGGTCAAACTGTGAGTAAAACGTTGCTCTCTTATTCGTTCTTTTGAGCGGAATCATCGCTGTTTTCGTGGCATTTCATCTTGCACATGCACTGGTATTACCATTTTCCTCTTCGAAATTTGAGATTCTCTTTTTTTTTTTTCCTTATCTTTCCACCTTTTCCGGTCGAAATTTCTCACATTGCTTTTAAATTTCCGAAACGTAATTTGATTAGTTCTCTAGCTTGGTTGGATTTTGACGTCTTTATTTTGTCACGGGAGAAATTAGCGATATGCTTTTGCTTTTTAACCGTTTATGATTAATTCACGGAGGCAATCATGTTACTTTTTCTAAGCTGGGAAGCAGTCAAGCCTGTCAACTTTTTCTTCCATCCTCTTGCCAATTATTTTCCTATGGTTCCATAATTTCAACGCTTTAGCCGATAGGTTTCCTTCAGTTGCTCTTCTATTTCGACCATTGACTTTTTGTTTATTTATTTATATATATTTTAGCATGTTCTGAAGACTGAAAAATAAAATTTCAGAGAAATTGCTGTCGCTGACCTTGAAGTGGAAAAACTTATCCAATTAAATACTCTCCACATATAATGAATCGTATAGTTATTTGATTTATAAGAGAAACTTACTTTTTGGCTCGAATAAGATGGAAAATTGGGAATAGATTAAAACAAAGCCTATAATGGTCAGTTTCCTATATGCGCATGTTCTTGTGTGAATACTAATGAAAGACGAGAAATAAATTAGACAATGTGAGGTTACTGTGCAAATCTCTGATATGGCGTGTGCTAGCTGACAATAAATATGTTAGTTTTAGAAAATTGAAAAGCTTTGGAGTTTTTAATTGATGTTGTTTTAATAATTTAATTCTTAAATGTAACTTACATTCTTGGCTTCAACTTAAAGATACGTTCCTTTTTATTTTCTACAGAAAACTGCTCCATGGCTTTCAGTGCCACAGTTTGGAGATTGGGACCAGAAGGGACAGATGCCTGACTACTCTCTTGATTTCTCAAAAATTAGGGAAAATAGGAAACAGAACAAGAGAGACATGTCTCGAGCGAGTCTTGGAAATGAAGAGGAGCTCATTGCCTCAGCTGCGCCTCCAACCACAACGAACTCTTTCCCAACTGATAACCATCACCCCTATCATCAGAGTCATCATTCTCCACCAGTAAGATTCTCGCTTCTCCTCCCTAGATTTGATATTCGTAACTTTTTGATTGTCTGATAGGGACCTGCATGTTCTTCTAAACAAATACCGTTTGGACAACTCAAGAATTTGTTGGCTTGGGTCGGGTTATATCAATGTGTTGTATGTGCCTGGAAAGTTCTTTATCAAACTTGTGGGTCCATGCTGCCTGCTATTATTTATTAACTTGTGGGCACAGCTATTGATGAAAAATCAATACAAACCTAAAAGTCACAATGTCCATAGGAATACTTTCCGAAAGTGTCATCTAATTTTATGATGAGTAGGCTAATGAAAATTTTAATATTAGATCTCCTACCCTAAATTCTCTAGGATGGTGTAAATGTTAGTTACATATATATATTAAAAAAAGATCTCAGATACCAGTCATATTTGCAGTCTTATATATTTTTTTTTGATGACCACAACTCTTCCTATCCTTAGCATCTTGGCTTTGAAATTTAGTCAACTTGGTTCTTTGTTTAATTTCCAGGGTTAACCATTGGTGTTACTGTTTGAATTACTTAGAGGTTATCTCTTATATTGGTGACGTGAAACGTACATTGATGTCTGCATAGAAACTAGATCAAACAGGCTGCAGTGTTTTAGAAGAGAACTCTCATCTACTATTTGTTAATGTTAATCATGTCCGTAATGTTACATCCTTTGCCTTATTTCAGGGCATAAAATTTAAACAATAATGATTGAACTTATCGATGATTGGAAAAAGATAAATAAATTGTTTAAGAAGCTGAATGCATTTTTTCATTGTGTCAGTCCAGTTGAAGGGGAATTTTAGATGATCCATTAGCATACATAAATAACCAATAATCTTACAGGTCGTGAGTCTTGTGCATCGTTTAGATTTTATGCAGGCAGTGTGTATTGTTCAATTAGAATGAGGTGAGATGTTGACTTAAAGTTATTGGTGGAAACAAGTTTGGGGCGGGGTCCCCTTCACACCTAGCCCACTAGAAAAAATATTAGTTGTGTGCATTCATGTGGTGTATGTTGCCACATCTCTCAAAGATTGAAATCGGGGGAATAAATCCTATCTCATATTAAGGAACGGCCAGAAAGGTTTTCTTTTCTTAATATGGGGAAGGTGAAGAAAAGCACATTTTTCCTACTAAGGACAGATTCTAGCTTATGTCAATGTCGATTTTTGTTTTAGTTCTTTTTAGATTAGCTGTAATTGGCGGTTGAGAAATTTTCAGGTGTGTTGGTTTATTATGGTTGACCAACTTCCTGTGACCTTCAGATGTGTAGTCTCACATATAATTTCTTGGTTTAATTGAAGGGGATGATGATTATATTTTGGACGGTCAGCCACAATATGACATTTAACTCAGATAATTTCTGGATCACTCTCAGTATATGCTTCGTATATGTTTTATTGCATTAAACAAGAACAGTTAACCACAGCACCGCATTAATTGCTTTGGACAAATCAACTTCTAAATCAAATAGATGAGATGCTGGTTGGCTTGCCTAGTCAGATATAGAATGAAAATAATTGAATGCATTTTATGATCCTATTTATTTAATTGTCGGTTGAAGTTATGTTTTAGATTTTAATTGGACTGAGCATTTAGATATTTTACGTGGTTAGAAGTATGCTTTCATGTTAACTTTATCTGCATTACAAATTAGTCAAACTAGTGAATAACTTGGTTCATATTACCCTTCACCAAAAAAAAAAAAAAAAAAAACTCAGTTCATATTATATAACGGGT